CCTCTCTCCTCATTCATAAATAAAAATGACAAAGACAATTAGCAAACCAACACCTCATGAATTGAGGTGACCTCTCCCTCTCCACTATTGACACTCACATTTAAATTATTAATGTCTAACATTAAGAGCATAATTCACCTCCAACTCACTCCATAAAACCATCTCACATAGTGATAATAATTCCTCAAAATCTTTCACGATAGTATATTTTAATGCAATCTGACAAAAACAACTCTTCGTCCTCCGTGTCATCTACTCCAAGCAGACGACTTGCTGCTTCCAACCATGGATGCTCATCAGTTAGAACTTAGTTGTGACCTTATATTAGGTTCATGACACCAACTCACCTCCCGTACATTCTCAATCCCAACAGTTAACACAAAATATAGATAACCATTGAGAAATGACTTCAATCTACCAGTTGTTCTCATCTTCTCCAATTGAAGAACGATTACATAGCATCCACACGAAAGATCAAACAATTACTAAGTACATATCCACCATTAAATCTAATGTTGATGATATTCCTGCAACAAAACACCACTAGATCTCGAAGACATCATCCTTTACAACATAAATAATCTCCCACCGACCTACCAATCACTCAAGACAAAGATTAGAACTAACCTTCAACCATTACAACTAGAGAACTTCTACTCTCTCTCCCTTCAACCACACACACACATCGACACTATATTCTTTCAACAAAATAAGACAATGAAATCAACTATCACTTCATTTACAATTAGATCAAATCCTTGTTCATTATAACTTATCATTTCACTTTACAGGATCAAACTTACAACATCTCCACAAAAGGACTACAATGTACTAGGTTTCACTACCTACATGATAAGTTGATGCATCTTAATCTAGATTAATTTGAAAAAGCTAATAACAACAAAAATCAAATTTACCACTCCCACTCTACAATTTCTACTCCGTTGGTGCCTTCTCACCTGAAACCCTCTATAAAACCTTTGGAAAATCCAATCACTAGCCTAAAACAATATTACTACCATAGAAACCTACCTTTATATCTAGGAGTATCCTTCCTTATACGTATAGATAGTCATGTAACTCTAAATAATAAATTAAAAAATGAATGCATAACTATGAACTACTATTTATCTTTAATGTTCAAGTTTTTACTGTACACCTTTAATCATATTTCAACCTTAATGACTAAGATATAAAAAATTGCACCCCTTATTATAATGACAAATGAAACGCAACCCAAATATAACAAAATATTTAAAACACTCCTAATAAAATAAACACAACTATTGGATAACCTTTACGAACTCTCTGCCCCCTCTTCAACCCTTTCAATGCTTCACCACAAAGGTCAACCTATGATTAAGCTTACATGAGGTGTTTTGCATGTTGACCACAAAAAAAAAGACTCCACTACTTAACTCATAGTTGCATTAAGACTGGTGCAACTATGAACTTTGAAAACATAAAAGCAATAGAACTTCAGAGCTTAAATAAGTTTACCATCCCAATTACATCCTTCAGTTCATCATTATATGATCTAATGTTCTCTTTCATAAGTTCAAATAACTCCTCGTTGGAGCATCCTTCATTACCTTTAACTTCTTTAACATTTTCGTGCCGAAGAAAAGCCCCTTCCTAATGGAAGCGATACCCAATATATAAAGTATCAAACATTTATATCTCTGTTGCTACAAGTTGAAAAGTATGAACCTAGGATTTGACAAACCTTCAGTTTTGCAAAAATCTTATCTGAGTATGGTTTTCCACCATTGTCCACAATGGCAGATTCAACAAGAGAGAGCAACTCATTTACTTGTCTCTCTCTCTTGATCATATACTAGTGGTATAATAAAAAACGATTACTCTATTGTTACATTGTTGAATGATGTTTTGCAAGAAATTTTCAAGGATCACAAATAATTGTACGAGATGAAAGAAATAAAAAAGAAGCTTAAAGATTTAAATTGAAAAGACAAACTTAAAAAAAAGTAACATGGTAAGAGCAATACGAATTTGTCAAGGACTTGGTCTAAATTCAATCATCTTTAAATCACTCTATAAAAATAGAAATATATTTGACAACTAAAAATAATTGTTCAAATTTTGAAGATACAAGTACTCTAGAACTCTAAATGTCACTCAAAACATATTAAGCAATCAAATTATAACATAAGCAATGAAAATTAAGTAGTTCTCCTCTTAGAGATTGGAAAAAGAACCTCACATATGAGATCTTTATAGAATAAAAGTAGAAACTGAAGGAAATATAAAAGTCCAGAAGCTTTGCCAAATGTTGCAATTAAATTAAATAAATGCATATGACATTTTTATTACAAAGTATAGACTAACATTAAAAGAAAAAAGTCATCAAGGTAATCACATTGCTCTTATTCGAAGGCTCAAAACAACTTTAAATGCCCCTTAGAGTTTTGTCAATCAGCAATCCTCATTTATCAACAAGTTATTGATGAATTGTTCACCAAGATGAAATCATTAAAATAGAACTATAATAATAAATAAAAGGGAACATTATTTATCTTTGGAAAAATTGTGTTTATCCACCTATCATTGATCACTTTTTTGGTCCTTTGACTAATCAACAATAGTTTTAGGTAAAGAATCTAGACTTGATTCAAAATTTGAAATTTAGACGATTAGCTACTATACCAAAAATGTTGTCCTTCATGTTATTCTTAGTGTATCGTTTCATCCTTTTTTTAATTTTTTTTAATTTTACACAATTCCCCTGGCATTTGAGTATTTCTATTTCACTATGACACTCTTAATTCGATCAAAGCTAGTCACTCCAATTTGATTGATCCCAGCCACTTCAATTTGTGTCGCCATCTTCGCTTGCTTATAGCCACATTAAGTGTTGCAATAACCAAATTCATTCAAGTAGTTCAGCTTTGAATGACAAGATTCATTGTAAACTGTAGATAAGTCTATTTCCAATAACAAAATTATTTAAGATAATAAACATGTAGAGTGAGAAACTATGATGCACCGATACTTCTCCTCAAAGAGGCGTGCAGTGTCCGACACGACACTTGTCCTACACTCCTCCGACACATGTCAGACACACCGAAAACATGTCCGATTAAAAACAAATTTGACACACATGTCCGACACATGTATCTTAAATATTTTATAATTTTTTAAAATATAATTTCTTATATTTGGCAAGATTTAAACTAAATTTCTTATTTCATATCCACAACACAAAATCAACATCTGATACTCATTCATCGAATATTCTCATTTTCATTTCTCTTTGGCAGTGAAGGTATTTTCATCTCCTCCTTTTTTGCACAATTACAAATCTCTCTTGTTGAACTAGAGTTGAAAGCAGTGATATTCAATAATAATGATATTGAAGATCAAAAACAAACCTCTTAAGCTAATCCTAGTAGTTGAAGCTTAAATGTTTGATGTTGTAGTAAGTGATTATTTGCTTATATTTTTGTGGTTGTACTAGATATTTTGTACTAAATATTTTATATTATAAGCTAGACAAGTTATCATGTCATTCATTTATTATTGTTTATCATTTTTAATATGATATTACATTAATATATATACACTATATAAAAATATATATTGCCGTGTCCGCGCCGTACTCGTGTCATATATTTTCAAAAAAGTCGTGTCCCTTGTCCGTGTCGTCGTGTCCGTGTCTATGTATCATAGGTGAGAAACATGATCTTCAAAGGATATAACCAAATTTAGTGCTGAAAAAATTAAATTCACTATGCTAGCATTTAAATTCAACTTTTGAATACCCAAGTTCATCATAACCATTAAACACATATTTCTAATGCATAGATCAACCAAGATAGTAACCAAATTTAGTTTTTTGAAAATGTGCTTGCAACCAAAGGAAAAACTATGTTTCTCTAACATGATATTGACTCATGAAGGGGCAGGGTCAATCAAATATTGCTTTATGTCTTTAACTAATTCAATTTTAAAAAGTAGTACACAAGTAAAATATATTGAAATATAGGCATAGTTTGTGAAAACAATTTGAAACAATAGTCATAAATTTGAGTAGGTAGCAATTGTCGCATGTATTAGTAAACAAAATATGATTACATAATTAGTTTGAAATTAGAAAAAAATATCAAAATAGACCCTTAACTATTTAATATTTATGAGAGAAAATTTAATCCTAAACTAACTATTGTAACAAAAATAGTCTCTAGATTACTCCAATGTGATCTACAATTAACTCCGGACTTCTCAAAAGTGATGCATACATAATCAAACAAAGAGACAATTTTAAATCATATCTGAGTAGTAAGAGACTAAATTGAACACATTTATAATCTTGAACTAAAATGACCTCATACAAATAATTTAGGGACTATTTTGACATTTTTATCTTTAAAAATATATATTTAACTACAATATATATATATATATATATATATATATAATTTTGTATTCCTTATTTTAGTAACTTGATGCATTACGCTCATATACAACAGCATTTTAGTGCACCTACATTATAGTTAAGCAATGGCCTCAAAGACAATGGGTTAAAGTATTTTGTATAAACAATTAAGTAATGTCTTGCTATTTTATGTAGCATACCTTTACCATTATCTATTGGCATATTAACGTAATAGATCATAATTATGGTGTGATTTCGATTTTACACTCAACTTATCAATGCTTCTTGCCATCAAGATATCATCATACAACATGCAAAAGAAGGCAATCAATACTACTAAAAGAAAAAAGATACAAACCCTCAAAGTTTCAGGAAAAAGGCTCATATAATCCTTCAAGCTTTTCTTTTTAGATTCCAGGGTATCCCCACCAGTGAAAACTATAGTCATATAGTTAATAATCTTATAACCAAAAATTGATATTATACTCTCAAAGGCTTCCTCCTCTTCTCTTATAAAGCAAGATCCAATTGAGAAAACGATGAGTACTACATGAATACCATCCTTGGCTAAATCAATGCATTTGATTATCTCCCCACTTATTACCTCAAAATCAGTAGAAAAATCAAACAACCCTACAAAGAAATCCATAGTCAGAATTAGGCGATTAGCATACTACCAATATTCTAAACTATGTCAAGAGAAAGAAATTTGAAAATTTTCTGTAATATATATCATAGGTTAGAATCAGAAGCAAAAAAATGCGATTAAATTGCTAAAAACAATGCTTCAATACCATTCTAGCTGGCATGTCCATACATAACTTCAAATTATAATAAATGTGAACAGGAGAAAGAAACAAACATAGCAAGTTTGAACTTATGCCAGTCAATTGAAGCACTATTGTTTTGAGCCAAAAAAACGTCCAATTTGAACAGGCTGAGACATTGGCTAGGAATTTCAATACACAACTTGGATCGAATTTCAAATGTGCAACTTGTGATACTCTTCTTGGATATGATTAACAGGTCAACTAACCTGATAAATTCTAATAATGAACATTTGTTATAAATTTTAGAACAAAATTACTTGAATTTATGTATAACATGGACGTAAACATTGAGAAGGCAATGAAGAATTTAACTGCAGAACATACTAAAAATTGGTTAGCTTAGAATAAACCTCAACCAACTTGAGGCTTCCTCTCCTACCATATCAGACTGAAATTGTAAAGACCATGGAAAATTTTTACATGATTGGATAATTTATGCTAGCATCATTATTTTCTACTAAATATACTTCATGAAAGCCAATTGAGGATAAAACAAATCTTGACATGATCTAATGTTGTGAAAGTTGAAGGACTATCATTGAGCTTAACTCTAAATGAGAAAAGATTAGTATAGCATGAGTTTTGTTGTCATCAATCAAATTTTTGGAATAAATAATAGCTATTTTTAGGAACACCTCAATTATCACTCCACAAAAAATATTTAAGAAAATTATGCAAAATTGATAAACAAAGCAAATTAAATTTTAAGAGTTGTATACTATTTCCTATGGATAAATAAGTAGGTCAAACCTATAACATTAATGTTGTTCATCAAAATTAAAATACTACAAATATATAACTGTTGAACCTTAACCATAATGCTTAGTTGCTAGCATTGTAAAATCTGATCCACAAAATCATAACCCCACTAATCTACCTTATGAAGTGGGGAGAAAAAAAATTAGTCAGGCATTTGGAATGTCTAAGTCCATGAGAAATTTATTAAGTATTGATTACACATGTAGCTCTACATGAAAATTTTAAGAATACATAGCTATTTTCTTGTACACATCTAATTGTGAATTCATTGTGCACTCCAACAAATGAAATACACTATTATTACAACAATACATAACTTTGTACTAAAAACAATCTTTACATAATTATACTCCTGTACCGACAACTATAGCTATAATACGCAGTCAGCACAACAAATTTTTAAGTTTGGCTCACTCCTGTGTTTTCTTTTTTATCAACCCTTTATGAGAGATTGTTGGTTTCAATTGATTTATTTAAATAAAAACTAAAATACATAACATTGTAGTGAGTCAAAAAATGAAATCATTAAAATAACAATTATCTAATATATTTTTCCTAAAGCAAGTTCCCCGCCAGCTCTAGCCGCACCCGTCCGCTCGAATTCTCCCTTTTTCATGTTTTCACCCTATTGAACCTAAGTTTTTTTATGCATACAAGTTTTTTTTGTTGGAACATTGATGCACAACTAACGGAAATTCCCACCACATGTGCGCATGGATAAAGCAAAATACTCACCACTACAATAGGTAAAGAGTTGTGAATGGCTCATTTGAATTCCTTTTAGTTGCCATGCTTAATTAAAATAGATATATATGAGATCAATAACTTCCTCGTGAAAATTGGCATACATGTTTATTAGAAATATTGCTTGATATTTTTTTGCCTTTTTTTTTTGTTATGTTCATTTTAGAGTTCTTGAGTGTTGACTTCTATGTAAAGCACAAAAGAAACAAAAAAAAAAATATCAGATCAAACCTCGTATCCACGAAACCGGCTGAAATCCCGCTGTGCAGCGCCGTTTGAGTCGCATCCCGCGATTCCTGCTCAAATCCTGCGACCTCTCCTCGACCTTGAGCCCAGGTGCGTCGTTAAATACCGCAACAGATGGGGACTTCAGTCGCTGCCTCTCCTCACCACTTCCGATCCAACTCCCGCTCTCCGCTCTCTCATACTATTATCACTTAGTATTGGTATTATTATTATTTAATCATATTTAGTTATTTTTAATAATAGTTAATTATAATTAATTATAATTATTATAATTGAATAATTTAACTATATTTGATTATTATAAATAATAATTAGTTTTAATTAAAAATAAATTATGATTAATTTAAAATTATTATGATTAATTATTAATGATAATAATTAATCATGATTTATTTAAGTTAATTATAATTAACTTTTAATTCAAATTAATTATCATCATTTTATAATTAAATATGGTTAATTATTATAATTATATTTAATTATTTTTAAATTATAATTAATTATTATTAATTTTAATTAATTAATATCCCCTCCACTCTCTTACCTCGATGTTCGTGTCGGACAGGCAAACCACCTAAGCACGCCTTTATTGGTCGTGGTAGGAGGGAACCCGGTGCGACACCTACGGCGAGGTAGGCGAGTGACTCATCGATCCATGTGTCAACCACGGCAACCCCGCGAAGGTACGTACTCTTCCAAACTCAAAACCTTGCTTCAATGTCCGTAGCAAATCGGAGAATCGCCCCATGCACGCCTTTATTGCGCGTGGTGGGATGGAACCCTGGTGCGGCACGTACGGCGAAGCGGGGTCGCTTATTAAGTACCCCCGAGCGGGGGGAAATCAAAAACTGCTTTTTTTCAAAAATACTTTTTTATAAAACCCCATGCACGCCTTTATTGCGCGTGGTGGGAGAAAACAAAAAAGACAACCGCCGCGGTGTCTCACCAACATACACCGTGCACGTCTTTATTGACGTGGCGGGTAGGCGGCCTCTTGGTTTTTCCCCTAAAAGGGGAGACACCGGGAGGCTGCCGAAATTTTATCTAAAATACAGATAAGGACTTGAAGAAAATGGGACTTGTGGACTTAAATCAAATGAACTTAAATAAACTTGAATCCAAATAAAAAAAAATGTGCAAATGAGATTGAACTTGAACTTGCGCATTCAGACTTGAACTCTACAAGACAGCAGGGGACTACTTGAACTCAAATGAGTTGAACAAAGAACTAGAACAAGACTTGAATAATTTGAACATTCAAGGGAACTTGATTTTGCAAGCATTTTGGACTTGAATTTGCAAATGAAACAATATAACTACAAGGACTTGACTTGGACATTTAAACTAAGTAAAAGACTTGAGTGGACTCTGAACTTGAACTCAAAAGAGCTTGGTGCAATGAGTTTTGACTTGAAACTTGAACCATAACATTAAGCTCTTAAAGGTTAAAGAATTGACATTGTAATATAAATACAAGTGCTAATCAAAGGGGGGTGATCCATTTGAATTTCATCCAAGCTTTGGTATAAAACTTATTTGAGCAATTATAATTAGCCTACAATGATCATCTCAATTGAATGGAGGAATGCAATGTATTCGCAAGCAATTTTTAGATGAGTTGTAATGAATAAAAAAAATTCCTATGGTAATTGAAGATTCATTAAGAGTAATGGAATCACTATCAATACTTGCCAAGCCATAATACTTCCATGAAGCTTCGGAATAAATGATCAAAGGCTCTTATGCTACAAAATGCAAACATCAACATGCAAACAATGTTCTTCCTACAAATGATGAATGCAACAACATCTTGTAATCAATCACCACTCATTATCTAGCAAGCATATTGGTCTTATGCAAGCAAAGATTAAATGGAAGAAACAATGACAATCAGTCATGACATTTGTATCAATCATATGGAAGAAATTGTGATCCAATAGCATGGCACACTGAAAGAAGCCACGAAGAACATGATTGGTACTAATTAGCTTGTAGCTGATGATGGTTAGTCCATTGCTAATAAAGACTAGTTTGATGATAAGTTCAATAACCTACTCGTAGTCAATGATGATAGATGCATGTAATAAAAGTGATCATTCCCCAATGTGGATGCAACAATCTATCTGCAAATAAAGGCGAAAGATACATAGCAAATGCAAATACCTACGATCCCTTACAGTAGATCTGCTATATGCACCATATGTCATTTGTGGACAAATACGAAAGGGACTACATAAACACAAGCAAGATGCTAAATGACTACACAAGTACAAGCTCCTATGAGTTATTGAAGGAAACTCGTTGTACACATAGTACACTATCCACAAGCAAATATAGAAGAGTCCTCACTCATATAGAAGTCCATTTATGGGTGATGGCGATTAATGTACAGTGGATGCTAAATTATTCATACAGTCAATGACTACTCAACATTAGTCGAATATACATGCTTTCTACAGGCAAGAGTAAAGATCTGCAACACATACAATCTTTCTACAAAGATAAATGTATGTGCCACATGCCACTGATGGGTAGATGTAGAAAGACTTCAGTAAGTGCAGTATCCTGAAATCACTTTCAATCTATGGAATACATCAACCTGCCTACCTATAATAGTGACGGATGTACTATATGAGATCAAATACCACAAGCAAAATGCATAAGAAGTATAACAAGTACAAGTGCTTACGGTCGATGATAGAAGATTCGTATGCAAAGGGACTTGATCATGAACAAAGAATTTATATGAATGCAATTGTTTACAAGCAAAAAGCAGGAGATTCGTTAGTGCACTATAATCTGCCTACAAACATCAACAAATAGTGCACGACAGCCTGGCTGTACAAAGCAACAAACAACTGATCCAAAAAGCTGCTACGCCACCCCACCAGATCTGCAACATCCGTACAAGCAGACAGAAGGCGTCTATAAATATTCCAAAAATACCCCCTGCACGTGCACTATAAATTGTATACACATAGGTACACTAAAGGGGTATATAAAAATCACCCGCATGGAAAAAATCCAAAAATCCTAAAAATATTTAAAAATTGAAATTATCCATCCACACTTAAAGTAAAATCCATCCGCCCTCCGCAACAGTTTGTCGAGGCGGACAAATTTAAATAAACTCTAGCTCACAAAGAGCCAAATGCCTAGTCGAAAATATCACTAGGATCTATTCTCAAACAATCTTTTGCCAGTAAGGACGTGGTACGTGTCCTCTAACCGGCAGTTTCGCCGCCAAATGGCACTGCAGGTAAACGGTTATGACCCGGGGCCCTCTGAACCGAGTGGTTTTGCCGCCAAATGGCACCACAGATAGCGGTTATGGCCAGATCCAATACACTCCTTAATGGCGTTAAATCCTTGAGATATGAATCAATAGGATATGATCGATGGGGCACAAAGTCCTCTGTTAGCTAAGGTGGATTCAAATTTGTCTCCTTAGATAAACATTCACCCCTGGTCTACAAGGTACCCTTGGACGAAGCAACCCATGGCTGCCGACAAGGATCCTTCTGTCAGGTTGGGTCGACTACCTCCTCTGACAAAGTAGACCAGGGTCCATGATGGCCCAGGATGACGGAACCATGGGATCTTGATCGGGCCCATCATCCATTCCCCCACCATCCGCTTTAAGTGCATGATGGTGAAATTTCTATTTTAAATATCAAACTTTCTAAATCTTTCTAAATACCTAAATCCAAACTCAACTCCTCAATTTCCAAATCCAATCCATTGCTGCTACTATATGCTCGATATTGTGTATCTACGGATAAACGTATCTGATTGACGACTAGCCTTAATCGAAAGTTCTCTCTCGGGATCGGGAGGGGTAATTAACTATAGGGGCTTGCGCCTATAGGAAACCAGAACTCAGATTATAAAGCCCTCACAAAATGAGGGCGAAATCTCTGGGTAGTGTCTTATCTACAAACCCATCTGCCTTCCAAAATTTACCTCGGAACTTATTCAGTTAAAACTCACTCGCCGAATAAAAAAAAGGAAAAGTGCGGCGGGGAGGCCGGGGCAGAATTTTCGGAGCCCACATTGAGAACTACGGTTCTTATAAATTTTTATCCTCAAACAAGTGAGGCTTGCCTTGCTCACAAATTTTTTTAGTTTTCATCAATTATGCCTATGTGAATGCATTAAATATTTTCAATATATTCATAATAAAGTTATCCTATGCACTAAACTGGAGGGCAGAATTGCTTTAAAAAGAGAAGCAAACTTCAAAAGCACATAAAGTTATATTTCGACAAGGTAGACAATAACAAACAATTCTTTCATTCAAGTAGTGATATAATACAAACAATATTCTAAAATCAAAGATATAAAAATACATATGCATTGTTTTAACTTAATGAACATTCATAGATCCATAAAGAAATTGACATTACCTGGAGTGTCTATAGCATTGATAATACGACCTTCGTTCAGAATAGCTCTTTCTAGTTCAGTTACTCCCGAAGGGCTAAGATTAGAAAAGAAGGCTTCCCTTCCCAGAATGTTGTTGCCAGTAGCACTCTTGCCATTACCAGCCTTCCCAACAATAACAATATTAATAGCATTACTTGCAGTTGTCAATTTGAAATCAATAATTGAATCAACCTCCATTGTGTGCGACTAAAAGAAATGCAAAAAAGACATGGTAAATTGATTAAGCTGAAAAGTTAAGGTTACAATCTCACATACTTACGAACATGTAGACTTCATGATATATCATTGGGATTCACAAGTAATAAACTAATTTATAAATTTGTATTTTCTTGTCAGTGTCTTTTTCATAGTTCTCATATTTTATTATTCCCATCCTTTAAGAAACAACTACATCTTAGCTTCTGGATTTGCTACAAGGCAACTTAATTAGGCCTAGACTTGCTTTCTTGAAAACCGAATTTGCTGGCAATAGGCAAAAACATGAATTCTCATTTGAATTGATCATCTATTTATTAAGTTGTGCAGTATAATGTTTGCTCAAACGAAGAAAATACAACTAAATGCAGGTAGCCTGGATGAAGGACAGTTCCCTTGACAAGTTCATTTGACAACATGGTAAATTCTATTGACGAAAACTTCTCAGTCCTGATTAACAAAACGCAAAGTAAATGATGTCGGTGTTGTAATTTTTTTTATTCCAAATTGCTAGATCAATGGTATTTTCTTGACACTGTGAGTCCATACAAATTAATTATCTTTGAATGTGTTTGATGAAATAAGTAAAATAAAATTTAAGGGGATTTACATAAACTCTTATTATTTAAATATCGGGATTTACATCAAACAAGCTTAAATATTTTTGTAATACTCTATGGTTAAATAAATAAGTTTAAACAACTATTTCTTCAACGCATTTATGTTCATGAACAATATCATTTAAGCTCGATATGAAGTTCCTTAAAAAACTAGATTAATGTTTGATATGGAGCACAATTATGTCTTATGAAAATATTGAACAATCTAACATGAATGTTTATATTTATTACAATTTAATAATAGAATAATCATAAATTAATAAACTTTAAAACTAATTAAAGTATCTATTAACTAGAGGTATATTCATCTTTCTTGGATTATTTACTTTGCGTGTTCATTAAGACTCGTTCTTTAATAGTATTATTTTCTGAGCTCGACAAGCTAACCATTTTTTAGCTTGAAAATGCTCGATAGGCGGGCTCATTTATGGGCTCGAGAAAACTCGCCATATATGTTAATTCAAAATGACAACATGATCAGTTGTATATGACTCTCTTAAATGAATAAAAAATAGGCACTTTAAACTTAGTAGGATGTTGAGCCTTGGTGATCTCAACTAAGAAGACATTAGTAGATTGGATTTGACTCTTCATTGGTTAAGTGGGCAAAAAACTTCAATAGTTCCATCCTCTCAAAGAGATGGCACACTAAAAGCAACGGAGCAACAAGTCTAGGACTATGATAACAAGGGCAAATCGGAGAGGTTGCTGAGACTATCCTAGCTAGGGTGTGTCAGAGTTGAAGCTTGCTAAAATTACCCAAGGGCTTCCTTAATCATTTTGGCTAGACCAACCTCATGTAGAAGTTATTTAGATATGATGTAATTATTCTAACATTTGCTTTGTTCATGCTACCAATAATATGTTCTCCAATGTTTGGTTTATAGTTCTCAGCATCAAACCACACTCCCCGACCATTTTAAGATGTAGGATTCAAAATCAACCGAGAGTTGACCAGTATCTTCTTGTAGAAATAGTCAAACAATAAAGAAGAGGGAGAGAAAGAAAATAGATAAAGAGATAGATTTAATAGAAAATCTTTGATTGAGATTTAGTAATAAGTATAAGATGATATCATGCCCGTATTTGGTCCTTAACCCTTTATTTATAGGACTTAATTAAGATTAATGATACAGGAAGGGCTACAAAATAAAATATAAGAAAGGCATATAACAGAGAGTCGATTTAGCTAACTATATAGTAGGTAAGCCATGGCTAGAATTGTGAAGTGTGAACAATGGGCGAGTAGCCTTGCTAAAAATTCCCTTAATAAACTCTACAGATGAGAACTCCTTAGTCCATTTTGGAAAGTATTCATAAATGAGTTGTCAAAACCCTAATATGAATGCATGGACAAGTGAGCATATTTTGTTGAAGAATTCAGCAGTTCTGTGCTAAGAATATATGTTGTCAACAATCACACCACGTCATTGAAAAGCTCAAGGACAAACAGATAATAAGAACAGACTCCAGGAGTAGAAGAACCAACAAAGCGCAATAGACATGAAGAATAGAAAAATAAGGAGTGCTTACTTTCGGTGGCTTGAGCTGTTTAGCTGGTAAAGCCGGGGAATGGAGACGGTGGCAACTTCGACGCTTATAATCACGGAGAAGACGAACATAGCGAAATCTCACCGATCTCTCCATCTCTAAAGTTCGTCGTCTCAAATCTCAAGACCATCGTCCCAAACCAATTGTCGACCAACAATTATCCGATCTGGCGTCATCAAATCCTAAAACTGCTTCGAGCAAACGATTTTGAGCACTTTCTTGCTCCGCCCCCTCCCTCCGGAGAATCGTCCGATCAAACGACTGCTCTCAAGAACTGGCGCATTACCGACCAAAACCTTCAGGCAGCCATCTGCTCGACAATATCTCCGACCGTCTTACCCTATATCATTCACCTCGATACAACCCACGAAATCTAGCAGGTTCTTGAAAGCCAATTTCAGGCAACCAGTCGCTCCAAGGTAATCCAGCTCAAGAATGAGCTCCACCACGTCTCCATGAAGAATTCGTCGATGATCCAATATCTAACTGAGATAAAGAAACTAGTCGATCAAATTGCTTCCGCCGGATCCACGATCGACTCCGAGGACATCATCTTGTACATCTTGAACGGGTTAACACCCGCCTACCAGTCATTCAAGCCATATATCCGCAACTCCCCTTCCCCGATTCGGCTTGAGAACCTATACGCTATGCTCATCAGCGAGGAGATTCATGTAAACGCAGATGCAGCTCGCCAATCCAGCGAAATTGTCCAGCAGGCAGCGCTCTACGCCAGCAGGGGCCGTGGACGACGATCCAGAGGTCGTTCCACGCACAACTCTAGCAACACAAATCGCTCGGTCCAACAGCAGCCCGCTCCGACTTGTCAGATTTGCCTCAAGAAGGGTCATACGGCTGATGCTTGTTGGCACCGTATGAACGCCAATTACACTCCATCCACCACTGTAACCAAACAGAATACTGCTCTGATGGCTAACCCCGAAGTCTCGTCCGGCGATTGGTTTCTCGACTCCGGCGCCTCCTCCCACATGTCTAACGCTGCCGATAATCTTTCACAACCGACGTCATACAATGGCTCCGACGACATCTTTATCGGGGACAGAAGAAACATCCCCATTGCTCACTCGGGCACGGGCATTCTTCCTAACCCGAATCGTAAGCTTTTCTTATCAAATTTACTTCACGTCCCAAACATCTCGCATAATCTTTTGTCTATTTCTAACCTCGTTAAAGATAACAAAATTTCAATTACATTTGACCCAAGTGGATTTGTTTTTAAGGACCTGATGACCGATCAACAGCTTCTTCAAGGACCCTGTAGCGGTGGTCTGTACAGGATACCGAACTCATCCGTATCTCCGCATCGTCCAACAGCTCTTCAGGCGTCCAAGCACTCTTCCTCCGTGTGGCACGACCGCCTGGGACATCCTCATCTCCGAATCTTGCAACGGATTTCTCAAAACGAACCTACATTACGCATCTTTACTTCTTCTAAACATTGTACTACATGTGTTCAATGTAAAAATCATAAGCTTCCATTTGAGCATTCTCAATCAAGAACTCAAATACCTCTGCACATCGTGCATGCCGACGTCTGGGGTCCGTCTTCGGTCTCCTCCGTCCTCGGCTGCAGATTTTTTGTTATGTTCATTGATGACTTCTCCCGTTATACATGGCTTTTTCCCTTAATACATAAATCTGATGTAATCGATGTGTTTAAACATTTTACTACGCTTATTGAAAATCAGCTTAATCATCGAATCAAAATCCTTAGGACAGACAGCGGAACCGAATTTACTAATCTTCAGATGAAATCCTTTCTTCTGTCCAAAGGTATCCGACATCAAGTGTCCTGTCCCTACACCCCAGAGCAAAATGGCATGGCTGAACGAAAAAATCGGCATGTGGTCGAAACCACTCGATCACTTCTACACAGAGCTGCCGTCCCGCATCAATACTGGCCTGAAGCGTGTTCCACGGCGGCATATTTGATTAATAGAATGCCTTCCCCAAACACCCATAACAAGTCGCCATTGCAATTACTGTTCAGCATCAAGCCGGATTATAAGCACTTGAAGACATTAGGCTGTGAATGCTTCCCACTGTTACCACAGCACATGCGTACAAAACTTGAACCAAAATCCAGATCCTTCATCTTTTTCGGTTACTCGGACAGCCATAAAGGCTACAAATGCCTTAACAGGGAGACAAACAAATTCTTCGTTTCACGACACGTTACATTCTTCGAACATTCCTTTCCGTTCGCTAACAACATTACGCCTCCTCAGGTTCAACACAATGATGTTCCTCCCGCTATGCTCTTACCGACATCAACGGCATCCGAACAAAGACATCTGCCGACGACATCCGTTACTTCTCAAAACCCGACAACACACCTCCCGCCTCAATCAAGTCTCTCCTCCAACCAAGAAGCTATGCCCGACCCTCCAGCAATAATCCCAGACTCAGACTCTTGTTCACATATACCTCCTACTCGACATCCCATAATCACCAGAACCCGGACTGGCTCACTAAAACCGACCGCTCGGTTAAATCTTCTTGCTCACAGCTCTAACAGCTCTGATCAAGATCCCGATCCCACAAACTTTAAAAAGGCCTCCAAGAAGCACGAATGGAGGCAAGCAATGGCCGAAGAATTTCTAGCTCTCCAACAACAAGGCACTTGGCGCCTCGAAACACCTCCTCCCAACGCTCAAGTGTTAGGCTGCAAATGGACCTTCCGCAAGAAATTCAATGTGGATGGCTCAATCGCATGATTCAAAGCTCGTCTCGTGGCTCTGGGAAATCAGCAAGCACACGGTATTGACTACGCCGAGACTTTCAGTCCTGTTGCGAAAATCCCGACCATCAGAGTCCTGTTCACCGTCGCCCTCTTCCATGGCTGGTCGGTACAGCAATGGGACGTATCTAATGCTTTCTTGCACGGCCTTCTCAACGACATTGTCTATATGGTTCAGCCATGGGGTTTCACCGATGAAAATCATCCTAATCACGTTTGCAGGCTGCTCAAATCTATCTATGGCCTACGTCAAGCACCCCGTCAATGGTACACTACGTTCACCAACCATCTTCTCAAGCTCGGGTTCGAGTACAGCAAGGCAGATCCGTCTCTGCTCACTCTTTGCCGGGGCAAAACACGCATATTTTTATTAGTCTACGTCGATGACATTCTAGTCACCGGCAACGACAACAACGCCATCTCCTCTGTTCTGTCGGAACTACAATCCACATTCAACATGAAGGATCTCGATCCAGCCCATCACTTTCTCGGCATCAAAATACAGAAACAGTCAGATAAGTATTTTCTTTCTCAATCGTTGTATGCTGAATCTATACTAAGCTCTGTCAATTTAACCAACTGCAACTCTTTATCTAATCATTCTTGCACTAAACTACCGAAACAGGTGCCCGATGATGTTGTCCTCTCCGATCCCACCACCTACAGGAGGGTCACGGGATCTCTCCAATACTTAACACTAACTCGACCCGACATTGCGCACGCCGTCAATGTACTATCTCAACATCTTCATGATCCCACACCACAGCATACTTATCTGCTCAAGCGTCTGCTGTGGTATATCAAAGGATCAGTGAAACTCGGTTTACCTATTCTTCCAGGACCGCTCACCCTATCTACATACTCCGACGCAGACTGGGCTGGCGATCCCAACACCCGGAAATCTACCACCGGACATTGCACCTTCCTCGGCAATACTCTTATTTCCTAGACTGTTAAAAAGCAGAATACCGTGGCCAGATCCTCAACAGAGTCGGAATACCGCGCGTTAGCGGCCGCTACCGCCGACACTATCTGGTTGAAACGACTTCTTCATCCAATACAACCAACCGATCGATTTGTTCTGTGATAACATGTCAGCTATCGCCCAGGCTCACAACCCGGTTTTTCACGCTAGAACAAAGCACATCGAGATCGATCACTGGTTTATCCGCGACCACATTCACAACCAAGTGATTCGGCTTCTTCCGATCAGCACCACATATCAGTTAGCCGACATTCTAACTAAGCCACTATCTACATCCAGATTCAAGGAGCTACGAACCAAACTAAACATTCAAGAAGAATCTTCAGTTTGACAGGGGATATTAGAACACCGGCTTAAGCTTCCAACGGCTAACTGCTTCACCGTCCAATAAGATCTTTACACGTGTACACCTATTGTCTTTATATACTAGCTTCTGTACCTAGGATAAACTGAATAACATAATAATATTTCTTGTCCTCTGGTTTCTTGTCTTCCTCAGCTCCGGCAAGCTCACTCCTCCGGAGTAACCTCTCTTTCGTTTCTACACGAGCCTTTCGGAATGCCCGGCATTTACTGCGCGCAAAAACGTTCACATTTTTAAGAATTAAGACTGCAAAACTATTTCTCATCTCAAAAATCTCGCCAAGACAAAGTATCGGCTTTTAACTAGCTTATTAAAACCCACCTGTTGGTATCCGGATATTTAAGTCAGACTATTGTTAATCTTTATTATTATAAATGAAATAATATGAAAAATAAAATAGCACATTTCAAACTACATTTTAAAAATTAGTTTTGATATAGAAAAATTTACCCACCGAGGCTTAGGGTGATTGGTGGCGAGCACAGTTGAGAATCCATCATCCCGGGTTCGAATCCCCGTACTACGGCCTCGCCTCTGTAGTGGGGCAAAGCAAGTGTGGATCCGATGTCGGTGGGTGCCCTCACTAGGTTCTGCCGAGGGATTAGTTACGCAGCTAAACGCTCCCTTTGAAGTGGCAGCAAGTAGATACTCCCATTCTAAAAAAAAAGATATAGAAAAATTTCTTGATCGGGCATGAACCTTAAGGCAACTTTTCATTAGAATTTTCTGAAATTAAATTTGGAGTCATCCAAATTACTATTTCAACAAACTTATAATCCAATTGAACAATGCCCATATTTACAATTTATTATTACATAATTAATTATTAAAAACAATTGAACAGAAAGTAATTGCCATTTTCAAATAACATGTTAGAGTTTATTTTACAGATTTATACTATTGTTGTACTTACATATGCATGTCAGATATATTAATTTTAGAGTAGAACAAAGAGGGCAATCCCATTTGAACCTCCACAAAGATATCATAATATATTTGTAAAGGAATAACAGAATATGTTCATTAACTATATAGTTTTTTTATATATTTATCTTATTTCATTTGTCAAATTAATTTTATATTCAATTCATTTTATTCAACAAAGTAGTTAGTCATCTATAGAAGATATGCATGTCCCAATACATGCTTATAACTCCACGTTCACTTATTTCACACATAGTCTACCTCCACTAGGTGAAGATGATCCTCTAATCACTTTATTAGCTCTACTTTCACTTGCGTCTCCATTTTACCCTCCCAAACTTGCATGAAGCAGATGGGACTAGAAGTAACCTCCCACATTCATACGAGATAGATGGGACCATAATTAGAAGCAATACATAATAAAAATCGAACCCATATCTAGAATCAGAATCCATCTCTCACATCAAAATCTTCCCCATATGATCATATAAATGCAATGTAGAACTTCACAGAGTTAACAGATGCACTAGATTCTAAACATAATCATGAATGCAGGTATACCACAGTGTAGAGGAAAATACACATGAATATTATTCATATTTTTCCAACTTTCACTTCATAAGGTAATATACACAGTTTTACTTCAAAACATCATTTTAAAACTTTTTTGGGATATCATAATAAGTCTCAATTTACTAGTTTTTAACAGAGAAATATTTGAATGTAGATAAAATTAACTGTTGAATACTTTATTTCTTACTGTCAAAATATTTGTAACGGAGCATTTTATGACATACAAAAAGTGACACATGGATATTTGTTCTATTTTATTAAAATGCATTTCAAAGAAAAGTCAGAATTGGTATTGGGAGCATACCTCGAGCACAACAATTTTCTCAACTGACTCAACGGATGAAATCCAAGCTACAGTCATTAAAACCTCTCTCCTCCTCTTCTCTCTTCCTTCTCTATCAAGCTGGGGGCTGGGGTGAAAATGGGATTAAGTGAAGTGGGTTTAGAACTTCTAACACTATGCTATAGTTCTCTTATAGAATCTTCTAGATTCCCCAATATTCCTCTAACTAAGACTTCAGCATCGGAACACTCCTTTAACTGGAGCTACAATGCCTTAAGATAAATTTTTAGCTATTTTAATTTCACTTCTCAATCACTCCAGGACTCGTCTAAGCTTAATTAAACATGCAATTAACTGAAATATATGTAGGAAAAGGGTTTACATAGGGAATCGAATCAATTTAGACCAGACCTCGCTAGGTTATGGAACAACATATCTTACAAATTCTAACTTCATTAAAGCACCTAAATGATGAAAGAATGGTCTATGAATGAGTGAATTAATTTATATCGTCTAATAGATTATTTTGGATTTTACCTATATTTAGTGGCTTGCAACACTAAAAAATCTATAAATAGGCTCCAATCTCTACATGAGGGGGGAGGGGTGGACATATAAGCTTGAACCTTAGTTTGATATTCGAAGGCATAAAAATCTCTGAACTCCAATCAAGCACCATCATTAGACCGCCATTGGATCAACAACTTCCTACCATCACCAAACCATCTCCTAATAGTCATCATTGGACCACTGCCCCAATGTCTTTGTCAAATTATGACCAAGTTACTACAGTCCATTTACGATCCTATTGTAACAACCCAAAATAGCATAATATGAACTTATTTGAATATATGAAAATATGAATTGCAGCACTGTGGTGCTCTGCTTGCAAGTGCAGCGACGCCAGGAAAGTGTTGATGCGACATCGAAGTCTTTATTCTATAATAACTCTAGGTTCAACATGCAACGTAGTGATACTATAATTTCGAATACCGCAACACTAGAAACTAATGAATATTTTAATAAATAGTTAATATAAATATCACTTTACAGTATACCTTTCTTCATTTCATTTTGGCTTGTTGGGTAAGGAGAATGGAGAGAAGGGGGTGTTGACCTCATTTTTGGTATGAGGTCATCATGAATTACCCAAAATCTTGATTTTCAATCCTATGGTTGACGACTATCCAACTGTCAACCATCCAATCTACAACACTTCAGTTATATTTCATTCAACCATACATTCTACTACACTTCAATCAAAACTCTCAACTCTTTTACATTATTAAATTGAATGCTCCCAACACATCCAAGTCTTCAATGAGTCAAACTACCATTGGTTTGACTTGGTTAACCCACCAAGAGTGGTCAAACTTAAACATACATTTGTTCAAATAACAAACCTAATGCTTCAAACTTTTGCATTTTAACTCAACCAGCATTCAAACTCTCTCAAGTCCACCTCAACAGTCAACTTGACTTGTTGACTTGTCAAATAATCAACAAGTAGTTTAAGTTAAAAAAAAAACAAGTAGTTTAAGTAAGCTTCAAATGGTCCAAATTTTTCTCAAGGGTTTTCTCTCCAAGGCTAGCCATTATTTCAACTTAAACCTATTCTAGAACATTTCTAAACACTCTTTGAACTTGGCTTAAGCCCTAATTCAACCCAAAGTTCATTCCAAATGATCCCATGTGCACATAAGGACAAAACCACGTTTACACCTCATTGTACCTTGGCTTGCTAACTCCCTGCACTCCTAACTACCCTAGACATTTGGCAACCATCCACAATGTGAGATAATTAATCCCAGCCTTTTCTTGGGATGGAGAGACTTAGAATAGGGCAAAACTTGGGAAAAACCCTTACATTCATTCCAACCCCAGTTTGATTCCACCTCCAGTTTTTCTTCCTAAAGAGAAGTTGCTCATGGAGCTCCAAGAAGGAGAATAAGTCGTTCTACACCCATCAGGATCAATTCTACCGAGGTAAAATGGAAAACCGGAGCTCTTAAATCTAGGATTTAATTAGCCTTTGGTATGATGCATTTTTAAACCCCAAAACAAATCTCTACTCCTTTAATCCCATTTTAACTCCCTTTAAAGTTTCATGTCATTTAATCCATCCCACATCAAGTTTTAAAAAAAAAATTGTTCAGGGTTTTGAGTTATTCATGCAAGGAAGACAAAATCACAACCATCCATTCTTTCTATTTTGATATAAATGGCTGTGATTTCATTCTAGAGTATGCAAAATCGTACTGCACGATAAAAAATTTTCACAGTACAATTAAGATCATATTGTACGATCGCCAAATCAAATAGTATGATTCCCGATCAAAAATATGTAGTTTCCTTCAACCGACATGTGTAAATATCATATTGTACAATTTTGGATCGAACTGTATGATCTTGATCCTCCAATGCGATCAGGGTTTAATACAGTATGATCCTTAACTTTAAAAAACTATTTAAATTTCAAAATAAATGTCAACATTTCATTTCTCATCCAAATTTAATGTTTTTTTAGCTCGTTGTATAATATCCACTTTAATTAAATCTTTTCTCTTTGAAGATGTAATTGACTATAGGGTCTTGCCTCTATAAGAACCCAAGATCCCAAAATAAAATAAATTGTCTTGGTTTGCTATAAGAGGGGAAAAATCTCTTGGCATTGACTAAAGCCAATCCTAAGTCAGTTTCATATTTAAAAGGATAGATGAATGTGAACTTTACCCTTCATGATGATTTTTAAATTCTCTACACTGAGTTTGAATACGAAAATAAATTATTTCTTTCCTCAAATTGATAATGTAGTGTTAGTTTATCTTTTGGGTTAATTAACACTAATTATGCAAAATTGTTCAAAGGAATATTAAATATCAAATCGATGGTATCAACGATTAATTTGTCCACAAGGGGGAAAGAGGAGAGAGAGAGGTCTTCTAGAGTTTTTTTCATCATTTTTATTACACAAATGGTATCAACGATTAATTTTGTGTTTTTCCTATTTTCTCTCTTAAAATTGATATAAAAACAACACCTCCCATTTTACTAACTTTTATTATATAATTTATTATATGTGGCAAATATCATCATTATGATCATTTTGACTAGGTTGTATTGAATTTTTACTGGGTGGTCTGATTTATATGACATTTTAATTAAAATGAGCAGGAAAATATTGAGTGTAAAATGATTAGGTGCTAATGTACTAAATTTGGATAACTTATATACAACATGCATATGATTAACCTCCATTTAGCTTGGCATGCATTTTAGCATAATACATGTATATGAATGAGTGTGCTGGATAGATCTATAGGTTATGATAATTGCATATGATATGTACATGATACCCATTATTATAATCTACATGGTAGGAAATGCATATAAGAATGAGTAATATGAATAAATTATTGTGCAATATAAGATGGATGGGACTGCTACTGTTAAGACTACAAAAATGGGGAGTAATATATGATTGATGATATAACCGAT